TAAACATTTAATATAAAGTTTAATTAGTTTTATTAAATATAAAAATTTATGTACAAATTTAATTGTTGAAGTAATTATGATTGTGGAGTACACAAACCGAGAACGTGTAATTTTTGCTTTATTTAAGTTCGTCTGGTATGCCTTTTAGTGGCGAATATTCGTTATTTGGGGGCGAAAGTTTTTAGCGGAAGAAATACTGTGTAAATGTCTGTAGAATATAAGTCGTTTTGGCCAGTTATAGTCGTTTAAACAGTCTTTAGTTAAACACGAGAACACTGCTTGATATCACTGTCGTTGTTCTATGCTCTTTAACCGAATCTCGAATAGTGTCGAAGTATCCGTCCGTAAATTGCGATGAAAAGTCAAGTTTAGTCGATTAAGTCGTAGCCGGGTGAAAGATCACTTCCGAATGGCGATGTTACATTCGGTGAAAAGTCGAAATCTGCGCAAGAAGGCCTGGCCAGAGAAGAGGTTTATGTCTTCCAGCAGCAAAACAACCTTTTCCACCAAGGCCTTTTACGCTCGACCGACTCTTCGGACACCTTTCTCTCCACTCCGGTCTCACCCGACAATGTCTCCACCGTCCATTCCGGAACCTCCGGATATCGCCCCTCGAGGTATTGGACGAGAGACGAGGCGGTGTCGTCCGGAGTTACGACTACCACCCGTTTGACGTCCGGTGTATGACACTTGTCCTGCGCATCTTTCGGAAGCACCCTTATGACACCTGGCCAAGACCAGGCGTCATCCTCGGACTCTGCATTGTCCGAGATGCGCAACTTCTTCAACTCTCTGAAATTCTCCATTCTGCAAAGGAAAATGAGAAGATTACTTGAGAAATATTCCTATTCTAATCTGAATTGTACATTTCTAATGCAAAAATGATTAATTCCTGTTAGAAAAGAATATTATTATATATAATAATTTTAATCTTTTCGACCATTTTTAATGTTCGATAGAGGAATTAGTTTATAAAAATTGAACTATTCTGTTGACTGCCGGTAACACAAAACAACTGCGAAAATAGAGGAATTATGTTAATTAATTAAGATTCAGACAAATTTCATATGGGATATTAATATATATACATATGTAATTTATAAACTATAGCGGGGAATAACAGATTTTAAAGTAGGCTATTTATTAATTTTTATTCTGCTTTAACAATTTCATTAAAAAATTAACAATGGAAAGATGCGAATCCTCCGAAGGAAACCGATCAATTCTTATCGAAACCCATCGCCGCCAACTGTGATATTTTGCTGATCAAAGTTAAAGAGTATTTAAATCTACAAAGATCATAGCGTAAACTTACATCACTTTAAACAATCTCTGCAAACGAAGCAAAACTTGAAAAAGCACTCGCATTAAACAATCGCACGAGTCAACAATAGATTCTCTCTCAACAACCAGAAAATTTTATTGTTGCATAGTGACTCGATTTAATGTTAAATATTCGCATTTCGTCATTTCCGTGTCTGTCTATTTCTAAACAGAGTGATTTTGACGGATCATTGCACGAGTTCTTCTCACGGGGCGGACAGTTAAAAGAAATCAAATTTGACGTGCATACTTTTGACCATAAAATTTTAATTCTCTAAATAAAAAGTTTAGTTCCAAGTTATTCTATAGGGAAAAATTCGCTGAAATTTGCATCTGGGGTGCATATATAATGGAGTTTCTAGCGGTCACGTGATACAGCAATGACGTCATGTTTCGTATCACGTAATTCATTTCTTTAATATGATCCGATTTTCGTAATAAAGCCAAAGTGGCGGACAACCTGCGATATTGAATGGAGAAAGTTAATTTGAAATTTAAATCTATTAAAAGTTACCTGTTGTGTGGAGTTTTTTTAAAACTCCCGGTTGGCGTTGTTTGTTAAATTACGGCAACGCAACACTTGGCAACGCAAACAAAAAAATTTCTTGTTAGTGTACGTTCTCATGATGCACTATAACTGTGTATTAAATTTTAATTTTCAACTTTTAATTGTTTGGGCTCTGCGCTTATTATTATTATTCGGAGTAGCTATTTCAAATGGCAATTTTGGCAACTAAAAATAATATTGTCGACGATAGTAGTAGTGGTTTGACACATACTAATCACAAAATTGAAATTAAAAATAATTTTTAAAATTAAATTAAGATTGCCATTAAAAATTCGTTGAGTGGAATTATTTCAGACTAGCAGACCCCGCTACACGTTGTTGTGGCTCAAACTGTATCTATTATAAATTTATAACACTTCCCCTTTTGGGGGGGAATTTTTCGAAAAATTTCTTCTTAGTGTATATTCTTTTGACGTACCCTATTAAAACGCAAAAAACCGCAACTAAAACAGTATAAATAGAAGCAGAGTTCTTTACGGTAAGCCTTATTCCTAACCATCTCCCTTCAGTGGGAGGAATTTCGACACGTATATTATATAAAAACACGTGCATATTCGAATGCAGCGTTGTGTCAAAATTTCAAAGGAATCGGTAGGAACAAACAAACATTACATTTTTATTTATATAAATAGATAGAAGATGATCCGCTTTAGTTCATTTTCACAGAAAAGCGTAATGCCTCACAGAAAAGCAAACTTAGGGCGTCGCACTCGTAGCGCCATCTATTGGACATAAAAGCCTTAACCTAGATTATATATTTTAATTTATATGAATGTTTAACGGAATAATATACAGCCTATGTCCACCCTGAGGTTCCATTCTAAATATTGGTGAAAGAATTTTTGGAATCGGATGAGTAGTTTCGAAGATTATCTGCTGCAAACAAACTTATATACATACATACATACATACATACATACTTACAAACATTACCTGTTTATAATATTAGTATTGATTACAAAATTAATTTTTCGATCACAAATCTTAATTAAATTAATTTTATTTTAACAATAAGCCAGAGTGTCTGTATTAATTATTAAATGTTTTAATATACATTAAAATTATACACGATAATTGTATGAACAATACAACACTAAAATAAAATTATTTTAAAATTAATTTTTTAGGATATAAATTATTTTCAGATTAAAAATTTCTCGAGTAAATTAATATTTTAAATAATTATAATATTTACGAAACTTTTCAATTTATTTCTTAAGTAAAGATTTTCGTATTTAGAAAACTTCTCAGTTTAATTCATTGCTTCATATAAAATTAATTTGCGATAATAATTTTTACAAGTTTTTCTAATATCCAAGTAAATCAAAATACGATAACTTAAAATAATAATATAGCAATGAGGTAATGTAAAGTAGGAAATAGTTCAATATAATAATTATTTAAATTATATTTGTTACTTATTTATTAAATATCTTAAACAGAACAATGCTTTTTTAAAATATTTCTGGTAAGAACAAATTTTTTAATATTATTCAATGTTAGACATCATCAGAAGTTCGATGTCTAAATAATTGTAGTTCTAGTTTCTAAAAAAGTTATTTTTTTCTATTTATTCACTTCTAAATATCAATACAGTGGAACCCCGGTTAACGAACTTAATCCGTTTCTCGACTCCGTTCGTTAACTGAATTGTTCGTTAACCGAAGCAATTTTTCCCATAGTAATTAATGCAAATGGAATTAATCCGTTCTTGTCTTTGAAATTTTTGTCATTTTATTTGTAATATACAGTAATTTTCTTTGATGAAAACGTAGGAAAACGTAGTATCTATCATTACAGCAACAAACATGTAAACTTTCTTTAATAAATTAGCACTGTACATACCTTTTTTGTTGTAGTTAGTGGCGGAAAAGTGGAGATATACAAACCTTAGAAGGGAAATCCCCTCCAAAAAAATAACAATGCTTAGAAGGGGAATCCCCTCCAAAAAAATAACGGGTAACACTTCATCGGAAGATTCTTCGAGTCGAAGTCTCTTTCGGTAAAAATACCCATCAGTGGCTAAGTGGTCTTCGTACCTTGAACACGGGGAGTTCGTTTGTGGGTTCGCACCTCGCTCAGACGGACTGGCCACGTGGAGTTTTCCATCTGTAACGCCTAAATAGGGGCCAGTTTTCCTTAAAAATACCTCCCAGAAGGCAATCCCCATAGTCAGATCGCCCAAGTGTTGCGTTGCCATAACTTAACTAAGAAACAAACTCTTTGCGTAAGGAACAAGAAATTGATCTAAAGTTGATTGTCTTACTCTTTTAATCAAAATTTTTCTCAAATACGATAGCGCATTGTCGTTTATATTGCGTTGTCGTTTTCTATTGCCACTATGACATTTTTCTTTCTTTCATACCATATTGATTAAATATATAAATCACAAAACTGAAAAAGTAAGTATAGCACAAACACTCGGAAAAGCAATGCTTAACTCGCACATGCCTAACACCAACTAAAGTTTGACACAAAATACCGTTACGTTCGTTATCCGAATTTTGTTCGTTATCCGAGACAAAATTTTTGCAAAATAAAAGTTCGTTAACCGATTTGTCGTTAACCAGGACGTTCGTTAACCGGGATTCCACTGTAATTCGGTATACGTTGTGAAATAATTTAATAAGTTTTGTAAATCACAAAATTAATTTTTCAATCACAGATCTTAATTAAATTAATTTTATTTTAACAATAAGGCAAAGGCAATAAGGCAAATTTTTCATGCGATTGTTTCACTACAAACTTGCAATTTTTTAAAATTATATTATAAATTATTAAACTTCACACATTAATATAAAGTAAAACTTTAATTATTTTTTCGAGTTCATGTAATAATTCAAGCAAAGTTAATATTTATACATTTTTAATATAGGTCTTACTGTAGTTAAAATAAGGTAAAATAAAATTTAATACTTCCACATTTGTAATAAACGTTTTTATTACATATAGAGAGAGTTTTATATGTAGAAAGAGACAGAAAATTTATATCGATCGTAAACCTAAAAATCTAAACAACCCGACCAAAAATCGAGTCTGGGTAATTAATTCAATGATTTGCTCGAATAATAATATACGTTTTTTAGAGATTATGATAAATTGTTGTTGGAATGATTTAAACAAATGTGATTAATTATCACAATATCTGTCTCTTATTGTCTTCTGTAATCAAACTAATATATTTTTCTACTATCAAAAATTAGAAACAGGGCAATGACAGAAATTTTGCTACTATATCTACCATATCTAATTTTACATGTCTTGGCTTCTAATTATTCTATAAGCAAAATTTTTATCGTTCCAAATAAAATTCGATTTATATTCATGATTAATTGTCGTCTTGTTTCTTGTCTGTATTAATGGTAGCCCAAGGTTGAACTTTTGCAGTAGCTCCAAATATAAAAATTACACCACCCAGAATGTAAGCCGAAGAGACCATATAAAACATGTAGCTCCATTGAATCATGTCTCCTTCCTTATATGAAAAATTAATAAAAAAATTATGAATATGTTATATAAGTAAACATAAATTAGAAGAAGTTTGCACTTACGTTTTTATCTAATATAACTCCAGCAACATAGGGTGAAAATATACCTGCAGCGTTATATAAACTATCAGTCAATCCGTAAATGACACCTAGATCGAAATTAAATTAAGTAAAAGTTATTAAACATTAAATAAAATATTTTTTGTTATCCAAAAATTTTACAATCTTTATTGTTCATCTTTTAGATGACAAAATCTACAGATTTCGACTTATTTTCAGATTCTTAATAGGTCAGAGGTCGTGTTAAAAAACGAACTATAATTTGGGAATATTATCCCGAAAATTTTCTAAACAAAAATGTTTAAACTCAAAACCGTAGATGGGTACCATAAAAATAAGAATATCAAATATTCATGTTGCAAAAACATGAATATTTGATCGGCTTTATGATAATATCGAGCTTTTCAACACTTCATCCGTTTTGAAAACTTACAAAAATGTTTAGGCCAAACCGAAAAAATATTGTTTAATTTCAGCAATGCAATTAAACGGTGCCCAACATTGTTTCAATTCTGGATACCGAGTCAATTTTCTGGCTGTTTAGATACTATCACTTAATTTCGTTAGAACAGTTTCACAATTTGACATTTTGTCAGGAAAAACGATTTAAGTAAATACAGTATATTGTTAAAATTAACAAAAACAATAACTTACCTGCAAATTCTGGAGCTAAATCAAGCGCTATTGCAACATCTCCTGAAACATTAAAGCCAAAACATCCCATTCCAATCATTAAACAAATAATTACATTTGTACTCTCGCAGCCTAGAAATGAAATCGCTAAGATGCCTAATGCCGGACCACACGTAGCTACAGTTGAAATATGGAAATACGTTTTAAAGTTTTGACTGAAATTTTAGAAAAAATTTTATAAAACTAAGACTGCAGTTTCTTACCAATTGTCTCGCAAAGTTTTCTGATATTAGTTATACTTAAATATTTACGAGCTTTTATGAAATCAGCAATGAAACCAGAAATAAATATCGCTATAGCATCCACTGAATAAACTAATGCACTCACAATTCCATTCTAAAACACGGATAATATTCATAAATTTGTTCATGTAAAACTTATTTATAAAAATGAGCATACCTGCTGGATAGGAAAGTGAAGAATAATCTCTAAATATGATGGAATCTTAGTCAATATTGTATAATAACCGAAACCAACACAAATTTTCGTCAGAGCTAATATCCATACTACTCTGGATGTTAAAATTTGTTTCCAGGGAATATTCAACTTCTGTTTCAAGTAAAAATGTATTTATGAGTGATTAATCGAAATAAATTACAGCAAAAAATAATATTACCGTTTCTCTTGAGGCGACGTTTGTTACGCATTCGTTAAGAAACGTCAATTCTTTGTCAGATATTCTAGGATGTTTTTCAGGTCTGTCATAAACTGTAAACGTGACACATAAAGAAAAGACAATCCCACATACACCTGTCAAATATACAAATTACAAAGGATATAGTCGCATAAATACATTGGTAAAGCATTTGTATGTTTTTATTCACCAAATATGTAGAAGCTAAACGGCCATCCAATGTGTTCACAGATATATCCTGTCGTAATTAAACCAACAAACGTACCGACTTGCATACCAGATAATGAAACTGATGATAATGTGGATTTTTCGTTTTCTGGACTCCATCTTACTAACAGTGTAAAAGATCCGTAAAATACAAGACCCTACGATTAAAATGATTCTTATTATTCTCCTGTCTTCAAAGGCATTATAAAAGTTAATTTTTACCTGTCCAAATCCGAAGATAGCTTGACATAATGATATAACTGAAACACCGACATCTGCACAAAACGGTGTTAAAATGCATAATATTGAAGAGAGTAATGAAGAAATTATGAAAATTTTTTTTGGACCGAATAAAAAAGTAATGGTCCCTCCAACGAGTTCGGCAAATACGAAACCGTAATATTCACTTCCCAGAATTATTCCTTGAGTGGGTTGTGTCCATACATAAGAACCCTAAAGAATAGCAATAAAAGTTGATGCACTTAATAAAGGATTATTACTGAAATCATCGTTTAATATGACGACTCAATAAACGTAACACATCGTCATTAAGAAGATTCCTTCCACACTGTTATTATGTCATACACTTAACACTCTGAGACCACCCACTCGTAGATTAATTCTAAATACAAACATTCTCAAACAGATTCAAATACTATGGTATTGTACACAGGTTCTCAAACTTATTTTGACCACCGCCCACTTTAAGATAAAAAAAATCAAGTGCCCCCATATTTTTTAACTTACCTTTTTACATTACCATCTGTTGCATATCTTAAAAACAGTTATTGCAAATATAATGTTTAAACATGCATTATTATATGGATAGGATAGATAGGGTGTAACCCATATCCTATTTATGAGATCAAAAAATGTTTCAATGAGAAGAAATAAAACTCATATTTAAATCACTGAAGCTTCTACTGCCCTTGAAAGCCTCCAATGCCCACAATAAGGCGTTATTGCCCACTTTGAGAAAGGATAGAATATAAGTGTTTGATTAAGAATATAATTGTCGAGTAGAATTGTATAGTATAATGTAGATATACTATATTTTGCTATACAATAATATATAGTTTGTATAACAACTACTACAACAAACAATTTATAATGGAAAATGGCTTAGGCTGTTAATACATTAGCGTTCCGCTTTTTGGTGTTACGTCTTAGATTTTAGGACTTTATACAATTTGATTTGATATTCTGTTATTTGTGAACTTCCTGACGCATATAGTTTCCGTATCTTGCATTTATCATTTCCGCTGTAAAAGTTAAGAGGTTATTCTAACGTTTTATTAGAGAAATTGAAAAATAGAGGGAAGTACGGCTTGGTAGTAGAATGTCTGCGAATGTCCGCATTATACTCTGCCGGAGGATGTACACACAGGGACACCATTGGCCCTGCAGGTGTAAGGAATTTTTATGCAACACTGAAACTTTCTCAGCTTTTAAAGACTTCATAAGTGGAACAGAGAGTCTTTTCCTCTAGTCCAACTACCATCTACCCCTATGGAGGCCCACAATTAATCTACACGTGCCCTCCTCGTGAAATGTGTTTGTATAATTTATTCTTTCTCGCGTCAACAGGGTTTTGACCCCTGGTTCTGTAAAAGGAGACCCCGTCTAGGGGAATCCATTTCCTATTACCTGTAGCAAAACAGCTGTTAGGGGTACAGACTAACAGGGCAGTGAAATCACTGTGTTTGCTGTTCTGTTGTCGCGATCTCTTCTCATTGTTTTCTGCCACATTAAGTTGTCGGGATAAATTTTGTACCTCTCGTGTAAATTTTTCGTTTTTCTTAATGTTATATTCTTATTTTCATTTATTATTATTTATTTTAATGTATACACTCCAAGGGCGGAGAACATCCTATGTATTATTATTATTTTTTTTTTTTTCTGAGTTATACTCGGTTCACACCGGTGGCTGTGTACTATGCCGGACCATAGTCAAGGCATAGCAACCAAGACAAAACTAAAATTAAATAAGTGTGTCAGTGTGTGTGTCTGTATTCAGGAATTTCCTAACAATATGACATGTATTCAATATAGTGGCCTTCTGTAGTGTGATGTATGTATTTCTATTCAATTGTAACGTTCCCAGGCTTTTGTGTAGTGTGTGTGGTATCACACCTGTACAGGAGAGAACAACAGGTACAATAATTACCCTATCCATCCTCCACAGATGCCTTATTTCCTGGGCAAGTTCTGTGTACTTGCTAATTTTTTCAGTGCATGTGTTTTGTACATTGTGAGTGTTTGGAATGGCTATGTCTATAATGTATGTGATTTTATTGTGTTTGTCAATGAGTGTGATGTCTGGTCTGTTGTGGTAAATTGTTTTATCTGTGATTATGGCTCTGTCGTAATACATTTTGTGCGTGTTATTTTCCAATACTGTCTGTGGAATATACTTGTAGTATGGTTCGTGGATGTCTGCCAATTTGTGTTTCTTTGCAAGCTCTTGGTGTATTATATTTGCTACTTGATTGTGTCTATGTAAGTAATCTGTCTGTGCCAAGAGCTTGCAACCAGAAGTGATGTGTTGTATAGTTTCTGGCATGATGTGACATTTTCTGCATGTGTCATTTGTGAGTGTTGTATCTTTGAGTATGTGTTTTCTGTAGTTTTTAGTATTTATGACCTGATCCTGTATGGCAATCATGAATCCTTCCGTCTCCCCAAAGAGGCATCCCCGATCTAACCAGCTGTTTGACGCAGTTTTGTCAACAAAATCCTGGGCCAGGTCGTAAGGATGCCTGCCATGGAGAGCCTTTTGAGCCCATGATTGCTTAATGTTGTCTATGCTTTTTATATGTTGTGTCATGTCTGTATGTTGTGAGTGTAAGTTTAATGGTGTGTTATTTGAGTCTGCTAGAGTTACTGCTTTATGTAACTGTGATGTTTCTTGTTTCTTGTAGAAAAACTCTCGCAGTGACTGTATTTGTTTGTAGTGAAGGTTAACTATGTCAATCAGGCCACGTCCGCCTTCTTTACGTGGAAGGGTTAATCTTTCTGTGGCGGATTTAGGATGATGTTGTTTATGCTTAGTAAGTGTTGTTCTTGTTTTCCTTTGGAGTTGCTCGAGATCTGTGTGAGTCCAATGTATAACTCCAAAAGAGTATGTGAGTACTGGGATGACATATGTGTTTATTGCTTTAACTGTGTGTTTTGCATTTAACTGTGTTCTAAGTATAGCGTTTAACCTACTTTGGTATTCTTTAATTAATCGTTGCTTTATTTGTGTATGTTCTGTTAGTTTGGCCTGTTGGAATCCTAAGTACTTGTAGAACTCGCCCTCTTCCATGGATTCAATAACGTCTCCATTTCCAAGTGCAAAATCTTCTTTCTTCAGGATTCCTTTTTCTATGTGAAGTTTTTTGCATTTGTCTAAGCCAAACTCCATTTGTATGTCCTTAGTGTATGAATGTGTGATTTGTAGGAGTTGATGAAGTTGTTTTTGTGTGGATGCATAAAGTTTTATGTCGTCCATGTACATGAGATGTGACAGTGTAAACTGTGTTGTTTTTTCATGTCTGATATTGTAGCCATATTGCGTGTTGTTTAACATGTTGGATAATGGATTCAGGGCTAGGCAGAACCAGAGAGGACTCAAGGAATCTCCTTGAAAAATTCCTCGCCTAATGAATATTTCGTTTGTTTGTATGGAAGTGTTACTAACCCTGAGATGTAGTGTTGTTCTCCAGTGCTGCATAGTGTTTTCGAAGAATGCAATGAGTGATGGATGTATTTTGTACATGTGTAGAATATGTAGCAGCCAACTGTGTGGAACACTGTCGAATGCTTTTCTGTAGTCTATATATGCCATGTGTATGTTTCTGTGTTGTTTGTGTGCTTGCCGTAGAATGACTGAATCTATGAGTAACTGTTCTTTGCATCCCCTGTGATTTCTACGGCAACCTTTTTGTTGTTCTGTAAGAATGTCGTGTTCTTCAACATGTTTGTATATTTTGTTTGTGATACAGGATGTCAATAATTTGTAGAGTGTTGGAAGACATGTAATTGGTCTGTATTGTGTGGGGTCTGTGGTGTTGTTGTTTTTAGGTTTCATGTAGGTGATGCCCTGAGTAAGAAATTTTGGCATGTCTTGTGGATTGATGATGATGTGTGTTAGATGTTTAGCTAGTTCCTGGTGCAGTGATGTAAACTTTTTGTACCAGAAATTGTGAATGTTGTCTACACCAGGTGTCTTCCAGTTGTGTGTTCTGTTAACAGCGTAGCGAATGTCGTGTACGTTTATTTCAGCACAGGGCATAGTTGGTATGTTGTGCAAGTTTCTGTTCTCCTCCTCGATCCAGCCTGCATCAGCATTGTGTGTAACAGCATTGGACCAAAGAGAAGACCAATAAGTTGTGAGTTCTTCTTCTGTTGGTGTGCCACTGTGCTGTGTATCAGTGTTTGTTTTGGTACTGATTTGTCTGTAGAAAAGTTTTTCATTGTTTGTGAATAATTTATTTTGTTGTTTTCGTAGTGTACATGTTTTGTATCGTTTGAGTCTACGTGCTTTGGCTGCGAGTTTTTGTTTTAGTGTATCGATGTATTCTGTAATGTGTGTGTTGTGATGTTCATGTTTTGTGTGTGTTTTGATTTTCTTGAAAATGTTTTTGAGTTGTTTCTTTAATTTGGGTGTTATGTTGTTTTTAGTGTATTGTGTCAGCCTGCCTAATTGCTGTCTAATGTCATTTATTTGTGTTTCTATTCTTCTCTGCCAGGCAGGCTTGTGATAGGATTGTGTTTTGTGTGTGTCTGTCTGTGAGTGTATTTTCAGTCCATGGTGTGTTACTACTGTGACTGCCCCAGCATAAACTAATGTATGAATGTCTGAGAGTGTAGAAATTGAATGAATGTAGTTTGGTAGTAAGTGAGTGTTTACATAATTTAGTGTTTTTCCTACTACCTTTGACGTGTTGATTTTCGGTATTCGTGGTCTTTGTGTGGGATCTGTACCTGTATATTTAGTGAGTGTTTCCTGAAATATAAGTGAGAGCGTATTAACTAATTCTATGTCTATGTTATCAGTGATGGATGAGGAAGTGCCTGTAGTATCATTAGTGGTAGTTGTTGTATGTATGCTATTATCAATGCTTGTTGCTAGATTATCCTGACAGGTTACGTGATCTTCATTAATAGTGTTAAATGTAAGTGTCTGTTGATGTATTTGATCAGCAACCTGTCGTTTGATAAGTTCAAGTGTTGTTTGTTTCGAGTCTTGTGATGGTGTAGTAAGTGCGGATGATTGTTTATACTTCGTTTTCCTCAATGTTTTATTTTTATTTTAGTATTATTATCATCATTATTATTATTTCTTAATGTATCTACTCCAATAACGGAGCACATACTCGGCCTTGACCCACTCTATGTATACTTTACTCTATGATCTCAATATATGGGGCTCGATGCTGGCTGGCCATAAAACATTATTTCACACTTTCCTATCTTTCTTGCCCCATCTTCAACCAAAACCCTATACCTTCCTCTTCTTACTTCTTTTCAAAGGCTAAGCCACTGGTACGGCCTTCTTAACATTTGCAAACCAAACCAATCTGCTGAACCTATAATCGAATCTACAAAAGAAACACAAGAATTCAAATAAAAAAAACTGAAGAGTTTTTATGGTCTTAGTTTAATGTATGTTGACATGAATGTGAATATTAATACTCTGTTGCATTGAAGAATATAAAGGTATTTTTAACTAGCAATTTTCTGGCATTATTGCAATCATAAATTTATTTGAAATTATTTCTTTAAACACTGTGAGTTATAGAGTATTTATGCGAAGTTCATAATGATATTTTGTCAAAAATCAAATGTGATAATAATATACAGTACACTATTAGAATTATTTAAAAAACATTTATATAATTGAACAAGGCTAAAATTTACTTGGTTTCACTGAAGCAAAGTTTCTATTCCATAGTTTACAGTGATCAGCATTTTGGTTAATATTCTTCTTTTCTACTTTATGGTAGTAATTTTGAAAATGTGTGGTTCTCTTCTGCACGACAGTTTTCCTGTCTGAAAAACTAATTTTAGTGAATGATTATAAGTTAAATATAATGAAATTTGACTGGCTTTCAAACGGTCGGGACTTGAATACCGTAATATCCCGAGTTACGTAAGTAATGCCGTAAGTAATGCGAACCGTAGACCTTTACGTAACTCGAATTTGTAAATTGCTTAAGTGTTATTACGAAATTAATAACTAGATACTATTTTTTGTATGTGTACTGTACCTATATTATTTATTATCTTTCAGTGGCGTGCCGTGACATTTGATGATAGGGAAGCTGTGTTTTTGTAACAAGCCGACTTCCAGGGGCAATCAGTCAGCGATGGTCTACAGTCCATTCGTATTCGTTTGTTCGATAAGCCAGTAAAAACCGTAGACTTCTCTAAATGTATTTTTAATGAATAGATTATCTAATGCACTTAATAAATAAGCGAGTTCAATATAATTAACTCTCTTATATTAGATTTAATAGATTCTCTACGCCCTCTAAATGCCAATTCTCGCTTCGATAACATCTAAATTATAATATATCTATTAGCCGTAACTATCTTGGTATAATTTTCAATGTTTATTTTATATTGTGTATAATTTTCAATGTTTATTTTATATTGTGTACTAATGTTAAATTATATTCTATTTTGATTTCCAAATTGCTTCAATTTTATGAAAAGAATCGATTGAGATTTACGATTTTCGTCTCTTTTGCCAGCTTTACTAAAATTATTTAAATCGTCAAAGCCATTCTTATTCCACACTAATTTTACTTGAAAATAGGTAGGTAAGGCCAACAAAACAATTTTTGCATTTTTATGCATTCACAAAGCCATTTTATATTTTCATAAAGTTTATCATGAAAAGTCAAACAAATTTTTTGTTGACGTATTTACATTTAATTTAGGCATTGGTCTTTCTCTTCTAATAATGTATCCTCTTTCATTATACTGTCTAGAGCCAAAACTTTCTTGCATTTAAAAAGTAGTTTAGAATTGTAATTTAGAATTACTTTCAAAATCGCTAGCCACGATATAAGGACTAAAATTAAAATTAAAATTATTAAAACTTACTTGATAAAATAAAATGCGTGATGGATATACAATTATACATACCTGGTACAAAATATTTAGTTGTATAAATATACTTTTAAAGAAAATTATAATTAAATATAACTTTGTAAAGAAGAAACGTACATAAAAATAATATAAAATAGTCTTTACTTTTTAAATATTAAAACAATNTCAAAAATTAGAAACAGGGCAATGACAGAAATTTTGCTACTATATCTACCATAACTAATTTTACATGTCTTGGCTTCTAATTATTCTATAAGCAAAATTTTTATCGTTCCAAATAAAATTCGATTTATATTCATGATTAATTGTCGTCTTGTTTCTTGTCTGTATTAATGGTAGCCCAAGGTTGAACTTTTGCAGTAGCTCCAAATATAAAAATTACACCACCCAGAATGTAAGCCGAAGAGACCATATAAAACATGTAGCTCCATTGAATCATGTCTCCTTCCTTATATGAAAAATTAATAAAAAAATTATGAATATGTTATATAAGTAAACATAAATTAGAAGAAGTTTGCACTTACGTTTTTATCTAATATAACTCCAGCAACATAGGGTGAAAATATACCTGCAGCGTTATATAAACTATCAGTCAATCCGAAAATGACACCTAGATCGAAATTAAATTAAGTAAAAGTTATTAAACATTAAATAAAATATTTTTGTTATCCCAAAATTTTACAATCTTTATTGTTCATCTTTTAGATGACAAAATCTACATATTTCGATTTATTTTCAGATTCTTAGTAGGTCAGAGGTCGCATTATAAAACGAACTATAATTTGGAAATATTATCCCGAAAATTCTCTGAACAAAAATGCTTAAACTCAACATCGTAGATGGATACCATTAAAATAAAAGTATCAAATATTCATGTTGCAAAAACATAAATATTTGATCGGCTTTATGATAATATCGAGCTTTTCAACACTTCATCCGTTTTGAAAACTTACAAAATATTTTCAGGCCAAACCGAAAAAATATTGTTTAATTTCAGCAATACACTGGATCGGTATACAGCATTGTTTCAATTCTAAATACCGAATCAATTTTCTGGCTGTCTAGATACTATAGCTTAATTTCTTTACAACAATCCGCACATTTCGACTTTTGTCAAAAAAAACTTCGAGTACAATATAAATAAATACAGTTTATTGTTAAAATTAAGAAAAATAATAACTTACCTGCAAATTCTGGAGCTAAATCAAGCGCTATTGCAACATCTCCTGAAGCATTAAAGCCGAAAGACCCCAGTCCAATCATTAAACAAAGTATTACATTTGTACTTTCGCAGCCTAGAAATGAAACCGCTAAAATGCCTAATGCCGGACCACACGTAGCTACAGTTGAAATATGAAAATATGTATTAACGTTCTGATTGAAATTTTAGAAGAAATTTTATAAAACTAGGACTGAGGTTTCTTACCAATTGTTTCGCAAAGTTTTCTGATATTAGTTATACTTAAATATTTACGAGATTTTATGAAATCAGCAATGAAACCGGAAATAAATATCGCTATAGCATCCACGGAATAAACTAATGCACTCATTATTCCATTCTAAAACACGAATAATATACATAAATTTGTTGATATAATACTTATGTATAAAAATGAGCATACCTGCTGGAGAGGGAAGTGAAGAATAATCTCAAAATATGAGGAAATCTTAGTCAACATTGTAAAATAACCGAAACCAACACAAATTTTCGTCAAAGCTACTATCCATACCGCTCTGGATGTTAAAATTTGTTTCCAAGGAATATTCAACTTCTGTTTCAAGTAAAAATGTATTTATGAGTGATTAATCAACATAAAATACAGCAGATAATAATGTTACCGTTTCTGTTGAGGCGATGTTTGTTACGCATTCGTTAAGAAACGTCAATTCTTTGTCAGATATTCTGGGATGTTCTTCAGGTCTGTCATAAACTGTAAACGTGACACATAAAGAAAAGACAATCCCACATACACCTGTCAAATATACAAATTACAAAGGATATAGTCGCATAAATACATTGGTAAAGCATTTGTATGTTCTTATTCACCGAATATGTAGAAGCTAAACGGCCATCCTATGTCTTCACAGATATATCCTGTCGTAATTAAACCAACAAACGTACCGACTTGCATACCAGAAAATGAAACTGATGATAATGTGGACTTTTCGTTTTCTGGACTCCATTTTCCTAACAGTGTAAAAGATCCGTAAAATACAAGACCCTATGATTAAAATGATTGTTATTATTCCCCTGTCTTCAATGGAATTATAAAAGTTTATTTTTACCTGTCCAAATCCGAAGATAGCTTGGCATAATGATATAACTGAAACACCGACATCTGCACAAAAGGGTGTTAAAATGCAGAATATTGAAGAGAGTAATGAAGAAATTATGAAAATTTTTTTTGGACCGAATAAAAAAATAATGGTCCCTCCAACGAGTTTGGCAAATACGAAACCGTAATATTCACTTCCCAGAATTATTCCTTGAGTGGGTTGTGTCCATACATAAGAACCCTAAAGAATAGCAACAACAGTTAATGTACTAAATAAAGGTTTATTACTGAAATTCTTACAAACTGATTTAAGAAATAAATTGCAATTACCATCGTTTAATATGACGACTCAATAAACGTAACACATCGTCATTAAGATGATTCCTTCCACACTGTTATTATGTCATACACGTAACATTCTGAGACCACCCACTCGTAGATTAATTCTAAATACAAACATTTTCAAACAGATTCAAATACCATGGTATAGTACACAGGTTCTCAAACTTATTTCGACCACCGCCCCACTTTGAGATAAAAAAATTTTAGTGCCCCCATATTTTTTAACTTACCTTTTTACATTATCATCTGTTGCATATCTTAAAAACAATTATTGCAAATATAATGTTTAAACATGCATTATTATATGGATAGGATAGATAGACCCATATCCTATTTATGAAATCTAAAAATGTTTCAATGAGAAGAAATAAAACTCATATTTAAATCACTGAACTTTCTACTTCCTCTGAAAGCCTCCAATGCCCACATTAAGGCGTTCTTGCCCACTTTGAGAAAGAATGGTATAGTAGAATATAATTGTTTAATTAAGAATATAATTTTCGAGTAGAATTGTATAGTAGAATATAGATATACGATAGACCCCCTATAACACGGGTTCTTATAGTTCGGATTCCTGTATTACGGCGAAAAAATTGCGACAGTATTCGTACAAACATGCTAAAAAACTCCTATAATTCGGTAAAACGTCATCGCCGACTCGTGTCGCGACAGGATTGGTCGGATCTGGACTAATGGTAAACGGGCAGCCGAACTACTTTCCGCCGTCCAGCGCCACGCTACGGAGAGTTTAGGCGGGTAAGTTGAGTTTACTATCGTCTGTACAGTATATAAATTAGGTACTTAAATTAAACAAAATCAACAAATTATTTAATATATTAATAAATTAATACTAATATTAAATATCAATAAAATTAATAAATTAAACAAAAGTTTAATTTAGAAATCTTAAATGAAGGATTAGAATTGGCAAAAACTCTAGAACTTTTTACGAATAATGATGCATCAACAAAGCTCTCCGAGAAATTTAAGAAAAAAATTGAAATATTGTTTAGCACCATATTTTGAAATAAAAGAAGATTTAGAAAGTAACAATAATAAATTGTTGAAAACATAATAAGATATCATTTCAGACTACGAAAATAATAGAGAAGAAACAAGTGAATCTTTAAGCTATGAAATAGCACAAACAATATTTAAAAGAGGATGTCGTTGGGTCCTAATTATGGATAGCTCCGACAGTGAATAAATGTAAAAAAAAAGTGTAACTGCTTCTTTTATTTAAAAATGTTTTGTTATTTATTTTGCGTTAATTTCAATATTTCTTTGTTTTGAAGAGAGATAAAATATATTTTAACTCTTACATACTAAATATTTATTTTACATCTTTGTTAAGCATTTGTATAAGTGTATGTTTATGCATAAGTGAACTGTATGTGAGCCGCTCATTTGCCAGAACGATACGTTCATAAAAGAAAAGGTAGAAAGTATGTATTGATAAATTTTATACATTTCTAGTGAAAAAAACATTTCTTATTCAACGGCTATAAGAATTATTTCTATTAATGATGTCTCCAAAGTTCAGCGAATTTTTTTCAAAAAAATAACTTATCAGGAAACTTTCGTCATTGCTTAAGCTTGTTTTTGTCACGGAGCGGCGCTCCACGACGAAAACAAGCTTAAACAATTAAGTTGTCGAACGGTACACACTCGGTAAGTAATTCTACAATATCTTCTCTATAGCATAGTTTATATTGATTATTCTCAAAAAATTATACGTATTTTGGAAATGTTGAGTCAAATTAGTCTAGAATCGATTAATTTTATGGAAGAAAACCTTTCAAACAGCCGTAGTCCCTAAACTGCACATGTGTCAGGCTGTGATTGGCTCATGTATTTAAGTGACTAGTACAACACGGAAATCACATAACATGTAACGTATCTACCGTGTTATAGGGGGGTCGACTGTACTATATTTTACTATACAATAATATATAGGTTGTATAACAACCTTTACAAGAAACAATTTATGATGGAAAATGGCTTAGGCCGTTAATACATTAACGTCCCGCTTTGGGTTTATTCAAGATCGAGTCCTTCCTCTCAATGAACTAAAGGATCTTTATATGGCTGGTCTGTTCAGATATGTATTACGTTTGTCTTTGCGCAAACTTCTTTCTATATTGCAATGAATAATAGAAGCTTTCTGGTGTTATGTCTTAGATTTTAGGACTTTATACAGTTTGATTTGATATTCTGTTATTTGTGTACTTCCTGACGTTTTTAGTTTCCGTGTCTTGCATTTATCATTCCTCTGTTAACGTTAAGAGGTTATTCTCACATTTTATTAGAAAAATTAGAAGGTGGGTCCGGCGTTGCTCGGGCAAAAGTAACGATAACTAAGATAAAGATTATTACGTTACAGTCAACCTTACTCGTTTTCACAGAATGCAAGAAATTCCTTTGTTTCCAGATTAATTAGAGAATTTTTAGATGGATCTAAAAATATCTTCGATTTCCCGCAAAAACGAAAAAGCTGCATCTGCGTCTTTTGCACGTCGCTTTCTCTTAACAATTCCATTGTTACGCAACACTTCCATTGTTGACACTTCTATTGTTACTTAAAACTTTCATTGTTACTTAAAACTTCCATTGTTACTTAACACTTTCATTGTTGATGGAAGTGTTAAGCCTGAATCCCGTCCCTCTCCCCCGTGGGGAGAAATTTCGAAAAGTCCCTTCTTACTGTGCTTTCTCGTAACGTTCCCTAACTGTGTACCAAATTTCAACTTTCAACTCCTAACCGTTTGGGCTCGTATCCATAATGTATATAGAAGACTTAATCCTGTCTCTCTCCTTTTGCCCCAC